TATGTATGTATGTATGTATGTATGTATGTATGTATGTATGTATGTATGTATGTATCTATGTATCTAACTATGTATCTATGTATCTATCTATATATCTATGTATCTATGTATCTATGTATCTATCTATCTGTCTATCCTTTTAACACCTGTATCTTTCAGTAAAAATGAATCCATCTCTGTCTACACATCTACAGACTTCAACACAAGTTAAGGACCATCTTGACAGACAGCCCTGATTATTTGAAATCCGACAAAATGTTTGCTATGAGAGTGTTAATGGGTTAACAATGCGTACTGCAAAGTTTCCTAAAGGTGCAATAACCACCACGTGCAGTACAGAAATCCTCTGCGAATTGTATCCAAATTTGCAAGTGGCCCTTAAATTGATGTTGAAGTAATAATAATAATAATTGCATTTATATAGCGCATATCCATGCTCAGGAGCATGCTATATGCGCTTTTACAACTATTAAGGTCTGTATTTAATTACACGATTTTGTTCTTCTCTATGTAATCACTTATCTAAGAATCTATCTTACTAAAAGTCTTTTCGAGGTGGTCCCCAACTTATTCCAAAACATGCTAGCTACATCCGTACTACAAGGTTTCACTCTTTTCATAACAACAACCATGATAGCCGTTCCGTTGAGATTATTAATGCCATCCCCCAAGACTGCTGTACCAAGTACCCGTGCGGTAATGATGATGGATAGCACTGAAGCACCCCCACATCAACCAGGATACAGCTGGAGCATATAAAGCAAATGTGAGGCTGCATGGTAAAATCAGGGGCTCGTCGAAATAATGAAATCGAACAAAAAATTGTATTTTTGTGTCCGTTTTGCAATTTTTATCGATTTTTTGTTTTTTCACTAAACACTTTTAAGGTTCATTTTAGGGCCCATTTCTGTGTGGATTTTACTGGGAAAAAAAGTTGATTAAAGGCACAATAAATGTAAATTTTCAGTTTCCAAGGACTCTCAAGCTAGATTCTATGTGAGTCTCCAAATGATGGGGGCTATTATCTCACTAGATATACCTGAAACTAGGCGACCCCCACTTCCTTCAATCGCTAATATCTTAACTTCTATTCAAGATAGATGGGTAATTTCTTTCATCGAACGATGGACAATCGACAACAATAACTCTACGTGCCCCAAATATTGCCCAGCGCCTGATTCCACCACGTCGTGACACAAATGCAAAATAAATCGCAACGCCCAGTTTATGGCCTGTGCACACTACGATGGTACTACATGCCTTTACCTCAAACACCAAAAAAAAAGCCCATCATCTTCACCCCCATCCCCCCCCTCTCTTCCCTCTCTTCCCTCTCTTCCCTCTCTTCTCTCCTTCCCTCAAAGCAACACCCCCTCCCCTCCAAAAGAAATAGCACATGAAAACGGTAACCAAACTCCATCTGTTTTTCTTAAATTTCAAGTCATTGCCTTTCCGGATTTGAAGTTCATTTCAGGTATTTGGGCACATATGTTCCTATACTTTAAGGCGGTTGGCTTCGACAGCGGAAGAACATAATAAATACTTTCCATCTGTCAATGAACGTGGGTGATTTTTGATTACCAATTACTAGGATTGGTAGCGGGTGGTGGTTACCTAACAGTTTAGTAGCTGTAGCTAGATTCATTCTCTCTCTCTCTCTCTCTCTCTCTCTCTCTCTCTCTCTCTCTCTCTCTCT